TTTCATGTGCCTGTTGGCCATCTGTATGTCTTCTTTGGAAAAAAATGTCTATTCAGTTCCTCTGTTCACTTTTCAATTGGGTTGTTTGGTTTTTTGCTGCTGAGCTGTATGAACTGTTTCTATATTTTGGATATTAACCCCTTATAGGTCACATCATTTGCAAATATTTTCTCCCATTCAGTAGGTTTTCTTTTTGTTTTGTGGATAGTTTCCTTTGCTGTGCAAAAAGCTTTTAAGTTCAATTAGGTCCCATTTGTTTATCTTTGCTTGTGTTGCCTTTGCCTTAGGAGACAGAATCAAAAAATATTGCTATGATTTATGTCATAGAGTGTTCTTTCTATGTTTTCTATTAGGAGTTTTGTGGTTTCTGGTCTTACATTTAGGTCATTAATCCATTTTGAGTTTACTTGTATATATGCTGTTAGAAAAGGTTCTAATTTCATTCTTTTACAGGTAGCTGTCCAGTCTTCCCAGCACCACTTATTGAAGACACTGTCCTTCTCCATTGTATATTCTTGCCTCCTTTGTGGCAGATTAATTGACCATAGGTGCGTGGGTTTATTTCTGGGCTCCCTGTTGTGTTCCATTGATCTCTGTCTGTTTTTGTGCCAGCACCACCTAAGTCAACAGTTTTAAATGGCCCACTATATGCTGAGTGCCACGAAAGGCACCAGATACGGTGACTATACCAGGAAGTTTCCACCCTAAAAAGGCTCTGCCAGCCACCCACTTAGCAGGTACCCCTTGACCTCCCCATTTCTGACTCATCACTTGATTTCTACCCCTCTCCCTCCAAATTACACCTTCAAATCACACCTTCAAACTAGAAATAATACTAATATTGTTCAATCAGTATGTTGTTCACAAAAAGCATCTATACATCAGATACCTACTGAAAATGTGTGTCATCTCTGCCCAAGACAGCACTGGTTACCTTGGCTTATAACCTGGGATGGTCTCAAACCCTAAGGAGAAGAATCAAGACCCTAAAGACTGAGGAAATCCCTCTGGTGTCACTTCATTTGGCTGAAGATTAGCCTTCTCATCATCACCCACCTGCTTTCCCAAAGGGCCTTGTAAGCATATCAGAGAGGGCAGCTAAGATGCTCAGAGCATCTCACAAACTGATGCTGGAAGTGAACACTGATAAAATTACAAATGCACACAACCTTTGATCCAGTGATTTTGTTTTAGGACCTGACCCTACAGGTGTGTGCTCACATGTATGAAATGTGTATGAAGCAATTCATCACAATAATGTTTGCAAAAGCAAAGAGAGAGAGAGAGAAATGCTCTATGTGTCCCTCATTAATGGACTGGTTTTGGGTTTAGACCATAAGCCAGCCAAGACATTGCCAACCAAAGTCCACATTCCTTAGTGCAGGGCCAGAGCTTCTCACAGCCCATCAACCCAACTTCCAACCTCACTCCTAACTCTCTCTGTAGCAATTTCACCCTCCATCTGAACTTTGAGCTCCTGGAAGACAGAGGCCCTGCCCGAGGCATCTCCATACATATCTGAGTGACACAGTGGTCAGCACAGAGCCAGCCACATGGATTGATCAATAATTAACTGTGGGTGAATAGATGCCTGAATGACCAGTCCTGATGCCCTAAATTCACCATCAAGTCCTTTCTCCATGCTGCTCCCGCTGTCTGGAATACCCACCTCTCCTCTGGTGAAACCCTACTCCCTCCTTGAGCCCCAACTGAGTGACCCCTCCCCAAGCCAGCACACTCCTCTCTCATTCCTGTGCCAAGAGCCCTCTACCCCGTCCCCATCCCAGGGCTATTCCCTCCAGCCTCGCACCATGCGGATCTCAGCCACCTTCTCAAATGACAAAATCCCTGAAAGCAAAAGCTACTTCCTGTTCATATCCCCAAAGCCTGTCATGGTTCCTGACACATCTTAGGTACTTAATAAATATTTGTTGTGGAATAAATTGTGATGGAAAAAGAAGGAACTTGGAGGATCTTCCTTCGTTATCTCCTACTAACTCAGAAACATAAATCAGCATTCCAACTCTAACTGCTACCTTGTGTATCCGAAGGTCTCAGCACTTAGAAGATAAAGAAGCAAAAATATTTCAGTGGGGAGGAGGATAAATGAAGTCACTTAATCGTTTCTAAAATTTACTGATTCTTTGAGATGGACCAGGATTGGGAGTTTTTCTTATGAGGAGAGCTTCCCACAGTTCTTTACTGAGATATGATTTTCGAGCTCCCTAGCCGCTAAGTCCTCCATAAGAAAACTTATCAAGTGAAGAAATCCAGGCCAAAGGAAAACTGCAGCCACGTGTAGGGAAGGCCTGAAGGTGGGGCAGCTGCCCCAGGTTGCCTTGACCACCGTGACTGAACAATGAGCTGTTGCCACCCTCTCCTCATTGGGGAAGCCTCTCAAAGAGGCAGACACTGATGACTAGAAACCCCAAGCTGGGCAGGGACACTGATGCTGGAACAATTTTCAGCAGCAATTTCCAGATCCTAGCCAGGTGAACACAAGACACCTGCTCTGTTGAGGGGAAGATCTGCTTGACTGGCTAGTGGCAGTAATTTCATTGATTTATTTCTGAACAGCCCATATGAATGTACTTCCTAAAGCAGTGATTTACTAACTGCGATCTACTCCAAGGTTGCAGTTTTAATGTTATCACTACCCACTCAGCCAGAGAGGCAGAAAGACTCCCCCATAACTCACAAAGCTCTCAGTCCTCAGAGACCCACCACACTTTGATTTATGGCACCCTCATCTAGGAGGGAACAAAGGTGCTCATCCAATGGGATCATTGTTCATTCATTCATTCCCTCATTCACTTGGGCAGCATACCTTCTTGAGAACCCACCACTGCCAAACACTGTGCCAGCGTTATGAGACAGACAAAAATTAAGACACAACTGCTGCCTTAAAGTAGCTCCTGTAGTCCAGGAGGGAGGGTAACACATGTACCTAATTAACCTGAATTGATGGCAGTACTGTAGACTACAAATGCTTTTCCTGGTCTAAAAGATGCTCAGAGAGATTGGAGGATGCAGAGTTCTCTTATGACTGGGTCCATCTCTAAAAGCTTTGCGAAACAGGTGGCATTTGGACAAAGCTGTGAAGGAAACCTGGCTTTTCTTGCACAGCATCTTAGAAGTTTCCAGGATTAGGAAAGTTACTCAAGGAAGCATCATGACATCTGAAAAGAAAGCATCTGGAAAAGGCTGCCGGATTGGGATGGAAGTGCTCTGGGATCTTGACCCATAGCTGTCACTTGTAGACCCGGGATCCTGAGCAAGGCTCTTTGAGCATCAGTTTCCTCATCTGGTAAATGGTTCCAGATCATCTCTAGAACCAGTCCGTTTGCATTCTGCATGGTCCCCCAGGCTCCCAGATTAGGAGGTGAGGGGTCAGGGAGAAAGGCAGGCAAGAATTAGCCAACTTTCAGCTGCACGCACCACCGCTTACGAGCAACATTTCAGGGGTTATATGTGTTGATGTCCACACATGGAGGCGTGCCAGTCAGATATCAGCTGAGAGGTGTCTATGGGGAGAGCAGGAAGGAGAAAGAACGGCTTAATTAAGCAGATCTCTAAGTAATGTTTCAGGCTGGGCTGGACACCTCTGGAAAGGGTGATGTCTTAACTCTACCACTGCAAACCATAGTTGTGCCCTGAGATCTCTAGGTGAGAGGAACGGTCAAGAAAGCACAGTCCGTAAATATGACTGCAGGAAAGGGCAGGAGAGTGAAAAGGGGGGAGAAGAAAATAAGGGCTGAGTGCCAGAGAAGAGGAAACAGTGAAATATGACCTTACTTCGAAGAAAGTAAACATCTCTAGTGATGACCCTCGTGCAGGGTGCTCAAAACCCAAGAAACTGGTGGCCATTTCTTCACCTCTCTTTTTAAACACCGGGATCTTACCTCTGGATCTTCACATAACAGACCAGTGACTTTGTGGCAATCCACCACAAGTCCTCCACCATAAGCCCATCACCCACTCATCTACCTAAATTACCTTCCGTCCTCTGTGCATCAGCGAAAGCCGGGTGATCAGTCATTACTGCCGATTACACCCCCAGACACTCGGGGAAGGAGGCAGCCCCAAGTCCTGATGTGGACAAGTTCATCTATTAACTGGTCACAGACAGAAACCATTCACAATTCTGAGATAGCTCTAGATCGTGCACAGCAGTGTACCTAACCAGGCAAGCCTGTGTTTTTTAAGAGATGTGCACACAACATTAATTTGATGGGAAAGATCATCCGTGCATCAATTTTAGAGGAAACAATCCAAACGGAAAGTATTCAGGAAGACAAGAAAATGGTGAAGGGAGTAGCTCGCTGCAAATTTGTTTTCTTGACCCCTGGACGCAGGTAAAAAACACTGCTTACCTAACATTGGTCTCTTTCAAAAACATATTTATTTATACTCAAGAATGTTTATCGCTCACTTAGCTTCAGATTTAGCCTGCAATCCTGTATCTGGTTGGCCCCTACTGGGAAACATCTTTGACTAGTCACTGGATCCAGCCTTCAGTCTCCAAGAGGCTGTCTGTACAACAGACCCACCTCATTTTTAAAGTGTTTAGACCTCTAGTGACACACAATTTCACATTCTGCTCTTCTCCTGTTAACATTACACCATTATATTTTATAACAGTCTTAATAATCACATTTTTAAAAATGACATAAGCATTCTCAAGTGGATGCGCTATATTTACTAAACTGGTCCCTTTGATTAATCAATTAGATGCTTTGCTCTTTTTAATTAAAAAGGACACAACACTGCACTGTGGACTGTTGGGACTGAGTGAGGAGTCCCAGCATGGGAGGAAAACCTTCCGGTGTCTCCCACCTAACCATGAACTCTTCTCTCTGAGCAGAACTAACAATTATGTGAGCACCTGCTAAGTGCCACAAGAATTCTCTGAAACTTCCATTAGTGAACTCACTAAGCAAAACTTAGAGGGATCAAGATCTTCCTTTTCATTTTCTTATCAGCTTTTTTTTTAATTTTTATTGAAGTGTAGTTGATTTACAATGTTAGTTTCAGGTGTACAGCAAAGAGATTTCGTTATATATATATATATATTTTCTTTTCAGATTATTTTCCATTATATGTTATCATAAGAAATTGAATCTAGTATCTGTCAGCTTTTATTTAAAGCGGTTTTAGGGTCAAAAGTCTTCCGAAGAGATGGGATGTTTGCTACGTTTCTTAATGTTTTCATTTCAGCTGTAACATAACAATATTCAGAATGCCATCTCTGGCGGATGACGTGTATATATTTTTTCCTTCCTACAGACAGCCGTGAACACAGGATAAAACTTATGAAAACTTAAAATTGGGAAAAATCTGATCCCGATCTCTCAAAAGCAGCAAAGAAAACGAAACGGCTGTGTGGAGCTAGTGCTGTCAGGGAGGCAGGCGGAGCCAAGCAAAACAGCGCGCCCTAGATAAGGAGGCGTCAGCCGAAAGCACAGGATTCCAGAATGACCTCGCAGCAGCCGCCAGAGGAGCTCCCGCTTTGCCCTCTTAGCAGATGAAACCGGGAAGCACAGATTTAACTGCAAACAGGCAGATAAATGAGAACGTTTTGGCAATGAAGTACAGGCAGCCCTCCTGAGGCTTTGAAGTGCTCGCAGGAGAAATTCCAAACTCCTAAGTAGACTTCCGCTCACTCCTTTCCTCCCCTCCCCTCCCCCCCATCGATGCTCACCTGGCTTCCTCCACTTGGAAGGCTCTGCCCCCTTCTCCCTAGCATCAGGTCAAAACCGTGTCTCATCCCTGAAACCCTGCAAGCCCAGTTCTAAAGTCACCCCCAGCGGGAACGGCCCCCAAGGCCCCGCAGCTGGAGGCAGGCGCACG